GTTTCCCCTACTGTTGCTGTTCTAGGATACTCAGTGTAGATGTTTCTGCTAGAACACTTTTGTTCTTTATTAGAGGACAGGGATTATCCTGTCCTCCAGTTTTTCCAAGATTCAACTTTGGCAAAAGTCACTGATCTTAAAGGTACATATCCCATTGGTTTCTTTCACTTTAGCTAGATTCTGACTTTTTGTAGATGCTCACTCTTGAGGTTTTGTAGGCATCATAAAATCCTGAATCTATCCTTTTGAGAATAGACAGTGACATCCATAAACAAAATTGGGGAGAAAGGTGACTACTCATTTGAGGCCAAAGAAATTATGTTCATTTCAGATTTCAGCATCCTAAACGAAATACTTCTGACTGAGAGCTACTTTATTTTTTTTTTAATTTGTTGGTCAAATTTGCTATGCTCAAACTTTAAAGGAATGATTTTATTTTAATCCTTTCTAAAATGTAAAGGCATATGATATATTAATCATATTCTTACAAAGTCAAAGACCAAGAAATTTCAGTAAACACTTCAGTGAAGCCAACTCTTTCTCAGTCAGATGCCATCCTCTGCTAGTCAGAATCACAGCACTGAGCTAAACCAAGAGTGAATGAAAACTCAAGCAAAATTTGTAACAGGAAGGATATCTTTTATTAGGTCAACTAATGCAGCTAAAAATAAGAAACGGACATACTTTTGTGTACGCAAACACTCTGGCATGCACATAGATGAAACTGGATTTGATTTTTGTTAAATAAACACCAATGCATGTATTGAAATTAACAGGGAAAAGGGATGGCTGCTGACAGAGGGGGCAGACTTTTAAAATTCTTAAGTACTCTTAGTTTGGTGGGTGAAGAGACATGCCCATAGCACTCTTTGAGTTGCCTGGATCCTTTAACAGTTGTTCCTTTCCACTGAAAACTTGCTGAGCAGTAGCTAAAGATTTTAGGGGAACAAACACTGGGGAATGGTGTACTGAGCACTATGGTGAAAGTAGCCCAGAAACAAGATATGGAGGCTTTCAAGAGGTTCCTCCCTTCCTTCCCCCTGCTTAAACCACACACAGAAACACATCCTAGGTGGTCAAGGAGGCATTGCCTAGAAGTACAAAGTGCCTGAATAGCACATGTATGTGATTGTTACACTGGGATAAAAGCTGGAGTCGGGACAAGGGCAGATCCCGCTGCTTCAGTGTTTGTACTTTTTGAAAAGCCAGTTTGGCAAGCAGTATAACAAGAGCCTAACAAGTGGATGGACATATGGGGAGGCAAAATAATTATGCATTAGGAAGACTGTGCAGATGTGAGCTGAAGTAAGGGCGTAACTCCATATGGCGCATTGCTGACCTTCAGTGGGTGTCTGAATGACAGTACGCGGTACGGGTCGCACCATCTGAGGGATGCTGTAGTGGGAGCGGGGCTGAAACCGGACAGAACTGGATTTACACAGATCATCTGCTTCCTAGAAAACAATAAAGCAGCTACTGACAGCTGTTGTGTCGGAGATCACCATGGTATTACTGCACCTTGCAACTCTGACACCTTCTCTAAACACTTAGTGTATACCATGTTTCAGGAAAAAAAATATTGTGACCACTGCTAAAGTGATGGTGGCCCTTAATCTCTGTTAACCCCCTGCGCAGGGAGATCATAGGTGAGTGTACAGGACACCTGATTTCTGTCCATGTTCTGTATGGTTTAAAAGCCTTTATATGTCTTTGGAGAGGAAATTAGTTAATCCTGTCAAGCAGAATATTAAAAATTCTGTGGTTAGCATGTTTATTTGAGAAACATCATGGACTTCTTTTATAAACTAACCCGAGAGGGATGTGCATGTTTGGTAGAATAGCTGTAGCACTCTGTTATTAGGAAAGTATGATGAGTGGAGGGCTTAATTCTTCAACCTAGAAATTCTTTGATGAAATACATTTGATAAATTCAAACTATGACTTATGATTTCCTTTTTCCTTTTGGTTGTTAATCCTAACACTGGATAAGAGTTTGGCCTCATTTTATCAATGGCTGCTTGAAGTGCTCAGGAGGATTTGCTCCACTATTCACCAGAAGTCTTTGATATATGAGATTGTAGGCTAACACTGATCATCTTTTGTGAGGAAGTGTCACAATACATACATCGATCATCCAAGCCTCTATCTGTCAGACTCTCCCAACCCAACCGTATTTTTCATGACACAATGCAGCGCATGGCCTTTAAATTACCCATCTGTCTGACAAATCAGTGAGTGTGGCAGAAACTGGCAGCAGTTTGACGTCGCCTATCACTTTAACTGAAGTGAAAGTAATGCAAACAGATTTATGGGATCCCCTTTGATTATAGACTATGAATATATTTGGAATTGATGTTTGTGAGAGAGACACAACAGAGAGAGAGAGAGAGAGAGAGAGGCAGCAAAGGCTTGTAGGTAAAAGCACTAGTGTTGGGTTTGCAGCTTTGCATTTACTATGAGGGAGATTGTTGAGTTCTTAATTTTTTCCCTTCACATATGTTGCATCTCAAGTGAATACCTCTGCCTTTTTTTTTCCCTCCTTTTTTTTTTTCTCCTTGGTGATTATTTAGCTGTTCTAAATTCATAACTTTATAATTATAAAGGATGAGTTTTCTTAAATGTATTTGCAGTACAGCTATCAAATATATCTATAGGATTCACTGCATAGCAATAAATATTGCAGAATTTCCAAGTGTGCTCTGAATACAGTAGAGCACAGCAGAATACAAATGGCTGTTGTAAGCTGACAAGGATGGCTTCTTGCTGCAATGCTGGTGAGGATTTAAGTTTTCTGATGAAGCAGAGCAAAGCAGTGACTTTGGATTTTTTTCATCTAATGGTTTATCTTTGTTGCAGAAGTAACCAAAACTTTGGCTTTTATCCTTTGATACCTCCCTGCAGAGGCTCTGGCCCTAGAACAGTATTGCTTTGAACCTGGTTCATAACCAAAGTATGCTGTAACAAGCCTGATTTTTTAGAAAGAGGATTTGATCCTACTTGTTGAGGCTGTTGTTTAAGTGTAGTGGTGAATTTGTGATGGTGAAAGCTGGGACTGAAAACTACTGAGTATGTCTCACATACAGGCAACAACATGCCCATTCAACAACTCTTGGCTGCAGCTGAGCTCTTGAAGCCCTGAGCCATCCAATCCAAGTAAGTGGTAAGGTGGTACTCTTTGGGCATTAGTACTTTTGTTGAATCATTTTCTAAGCTCTCTGGAGCTTACAGAAGCTCCTTTTGATACTTTGCTTGACTTTCTTCAGAGAAACCATAAACTTAAGTGATTCCTTTCTTTTCAAATAAATAGGTTTTTTTAACAAAGGTGTAGGCATTGGAAATCACTTAACAAAATGGATAGTTGTGGTTCAGCTGTGACAGGTTTTGACTACTGGGTTTTGCTTGGGGGGTGTTGGCATAATCTTGAGCTGAATTTAGTTTCAGCCTCTGGCTGCGTTTCGTGCCTCTGTGGGTCTTTCAAAACAATGGAGGGAAGATGGCTTCTGGGGCAGATATTTTCTAAACAAACCAAACAGGTTTTTCGCTTTTCCCCTAGCTAGCGTTTGCCTTGGAAAGGGAGAAACAGGTAACATTCTCCTGCTTGATAAACTGTAGAGGCTTTCATTATGTTGGTTACTACATGGAACAAAACAGGCCTGCTGCACAAAGGAAAAGGTGCTGGCAAATGGAGTTCATCACTGATGGGATAGGTACTTTCCAGCCCACAGTTACTTATTTAGAAACCACATCCTAGCTCCTGTAAATGGGCTATTGGCAGTGCCACTCCTGCATTTTCAGGGAGTCTTCATCTCTAGCCTTTGTACATGATGATGAGACACACTTTTACTTCCAGGCGCAGGCTTCTGCCAAGCTTCTGGCAGCTGGTTTCTTGCATAAGCATCTCTTCCCACCTCCCTAGGTGAGAGGTGAAGATGGTGATGCCAAGTGTTGCATCTCCTCACACAAGGTTGTGTCTGCAGGATTTCATGAGGCCTCTGCAGAAACAGTGCGGCAGTTTGCAACAAAATTTAGGGCTCATGGGCAGGAACAAGTACAGCAGACAACAGAGATCTTGGTGTCTGACTGAGGTTGCCATGTAGGTTTTGAAGTGCCCAGGAGCCTCTGGATGCTTCCTACAAGGGAAGGCTAGGTGGTCTTTGGGGTCTGTTTGTCTCTCTTCCTGTTTGGAACTTGGTTAGTGGGAGCCTATGCAAAGCTTTGTTTTGGCTGAAGCAAACCCTGACATATTTGCATTTAGCCCCTAGCAGGCTAGGACATTCACAGTACTTGCTGGTTTTTTGAACCCAATCTATTCCTGTTTAACAGTCTCCATCCACAGTTCTCCCATTAGATCCTGCCTGCCTGCATCCCACATCCATTCTGGAGACAGTGTACACTCATTGGAGAGCCCTGTGTGCAAGTCCCACACCTTGTTGGTGTTTGTGAGGGAAGCCAAATCTACATTTGGAGCACATAAGACAGATGTACTGTCCCAGTGTAGTGTTCAACGCATGGACACCAGCTAGGTTAGCATCACAGTGAAAAGGAAAGCTACAGCTGGTGTCTTTGCTAAGGTTGTTCTTCTGGTATAATCCTGTCTCTGCTATGCATTTTTTTTTTTTCAAGCACAGTTTTGTCAGTGAGGGATCTCACCAAGGCAGGCATGACTTTGGTAGAGCCGTGGCTTTAGGCATGTTCTGCATGGCTCTATTAGCAGAGCAGTGGGCACGTGTGAGCAAAGTCACATGGAGGTCCCTTTCAGTTTAAACTAGTTCTAGGCTATTCTCTGTAGGCAGGAGCTCTGAAACTTGAGGAAAGCATTGGCTTCTAGTGCTGTCCTTCAGTACAGCGTGGTCTGAATGTCATGTCTAGGACCCAGTGAATGATACCAGATTAAGATCTCTAAGCATAGCCTGGCCCCTCTGCTTATAGTCCCTTTGGCTAGCTGCTGATGAGTCAAAACACCTTCTTTTCATGAATAATGAATTTTTCTTTACCTCTAGGGAAGATGCATAAACTTCACTCGGGTGAAATCGGATGGAACTTCTGCCCCTTACAGCCCACCGCCAAAGCTGCCGCAGCGCGATGATGTTCCTCTCAACAACGCTCCAAGGAATCTTTCTTCTCCCGTGTCTCTGCAGCCCCCTTCCAGGCAGCCACCTCCTGGACCACCCCCATCCCGAGCCCCTCCTGGACCTCCTCCTTCACGTCCACCCCCGCAGCCCATGGCTTAGAGTGCAGCAAAACCCTGATCGACAAAACACGTCTCTGCTGAACACGGCATATTTATTGAGTATTGGTTTACAGTTAAAGATATCGGAATTTGTTGCTGGTCAGCAAAAAAAGAAGAAAAAAAAAAAAAAAAAAGAAAAATTGCCAAGTGTCAATTTTAGTGTATGAATATATTTATACCACACGTGCTGAGTAAACATTCAGTGGATAGATTCAGAGCTATGGGGTATAGAAACAAACCAAAATGATCATCTAGATACAATAGCAGATTTTGTATGTATGCATTTGAAGACCTATTTACATGTGACATTTGTCTGACTTGGTATGTCAGATCATTCATTAATAACTTTAGCCGGTACATGTGCATCAGTTGTTTTGATAGCTGCCACCTGCAAGTTGGTTAAACATAGTTCATTGAGGAATTTGCTTTCTTTTCCCCAATAGTACTGCATCCAGATGTTAACATGGAACAATAATTGCAAAGATAACTTTCTGCCTTCGGTTCTGCAGGTGGAATTTCCATGAAAGTTTATAAGACTATAACAGTAATGAGGTAAAATTAGACTATGTGCCAATAATCTAGCAACAGTAATCTAGCATAGAAGAGAGGTATCTTTTTCTCCTGAGAAAATCAATTCTGCGCCTGCCGTCTCTGTGTATGTTTAGACTTGGTTGCATAGGATAGCCACTGAAGGCCAGATACTGGTTCTAGAAATCCAAACCTTGAACAAGACCTGGGTTCAGATATGTCTAAAGCTCAGAGGAATTTTGAGAAAAACATTTTGGCTAGTTTTCATTTACAGAAAACATGATCCAAAATGGAGCAAATATACATGCAATTTGAGCACGAATGCTGTAATATGCAAACAGCATGTGTTAGTTATATCAGCAGCATTGAGGGACTGATTCCATTGCTTTTTAATTAGATAAATTTCCTTTTGATCTTACTGCCAAACAGAACTCAATCCTCTTGTGATTCAAATTGAATTCCTCTATGAGCAGCTCTTTGTTTAGATGACCCAGATCTCACTAATATGTAACCTTGCAGTCTACCTGTGGTTGAGAGGCATGGCGTGATGTGTCAGTATGAGCTTTTATCCCTGTTTTATATAAGGTTTGGCTAGAGGATTTCCCAAACATTATGACTGCTCACCCATGACCTCAATTCTGTGTGTCATCAGAAAGTGATGTGAGCACCCACACAGAGGTGGGAATTTATGACGCGGGACTGTGGGACAGCCCATGAATAGTGTGTTCACTAAGCAATACCTGAGTGGGTTGTGCCCAGATCATTCCCTAGTGAATGAACCTGAGCTTGCTTTTTCTCCACCACTACCTATCATATTGTATTGGAGAGGGTGGCTGCAAATCCCTATGCTGGTTTGCTTTGGCACTGGCTGTGTTATTAGGATAGTTGTAGAAATAATGTTTATGTAGCATTATGATACTGCATATACCTATCCCTCTGTCTGTGTGTGGGTGTGTAGCACATCACAGTAGTTAGTGGCACATAAGCCCAAGATAAAACACTAACTGCATCATGCAGTTACTCCAGATGTAAGGCCTCTTCATGCAGTTGTTACAGGCATATGAAGTTGCACTGGTACAAATAGAAATCAGGCTTACTCTTTCCAGTGGAAGTCCTGCCTGCAGAACACCATACCAAGCTCTTATCGGTCTATGCTGATCACTGTGACATACCATGTATATGCAGCTGAGGCTGTCAAAGATAAACTCAGAAGAACCACAGAGCCTCTTTCTCCTCTTGCACTGCTCTGCTCTCGAGTTATGCTCTTACCTCATGCATATTGGTGCAGGTAGTGGAATCACACTCATGGGTGCCAGCTGGCCTTAGAGCTGGTCCTAATTTAGGCCTGAGCCAGCAAAGCACTTACGCATGCATTAAAATGTCCTGCAGGTCAAGAGGAACATCCTTATGCCCAAGTATTTTGCTGACCTGTGACTTCATTGTGATCGGAAAGGAGAACTGGGATGTACTCAACCCTATCCTCATTCTTTTTAGTCACTTGAATAGGGTCTGCATAATTTGGTCCATAAGAATGGATATCTGTTTGGAGGAGAGAGAAGTGTGTGTGTATGTGTGTGTGAGTGTATCTGTCTGTGTGTGGGAACTGTGTAGGTTTTTGTTTGGTTTCTCTTCCTTTGCAAAAATTGCTGGGAGAGTAGCACTCCTATGAATGGAAAGGCCATTTGCAGCCAGTGTGACACACAGTCATCACTTATTTATCTCCGTTTCTTTCAGTTGAAAGGTGAAACTAAAACATCTTTCCTCTGCAGTTCTGGTGAAGCTCTACTTTTCACACCAGTGAAAGGAACTGGATGACTGCAGTGAGAGGTAGGAACCTGGAAGTGGGGGAAGGTGCTTTACAAGCTGAGATAATTGGCTGATATGATTTTGGTCATATGGAAGCCTACATGAAATAAACTTGCTGGGTCTACAACCAGTGTGTACGTACAGTTGAACCTAGCAGCCTCTCATGTTGGCTATCTAAGAATATTTAGCCAACAAATGCTAACCAGGAATTGAAATAGCAGAGGGTAATAAAACCGATTCCCCTGCCAGGACAAAACATGGCGTTTGTTTAGCTGCTTCTGGGAGTGGGGCAGGCCACTGCTCTGTAGATCCCAAGTCTCTTACCAGCAGGCAGTGATGAGATCAAAACAATTGTGGAACTCTCAAATGACATAACAATAAAGGGAAAACTTGCTTACAGATCTAGTATCTGCTAATAAAGTTGAATTGATGGGTCAGGAGTAAACTTTAGCTACTAAAAATGCCTGGAAACCAGGTTTTGTATCGTCTTGCACCTGTACAGCTCTTAAAAGGGGTCAGTAGAGTTGTTGCAGTTTTGCATTGATGTTAATGTTGGTAGAATTTGACTCACTTCCAGTGAAAATGGAAGTGTTGGTTTAGGGAGGGCTTCTCACCATCACACGTCCAACATGTCTGTTGTTTGCAGTTGAGGGGAATATTCTTTGCCAGAGTAGCCAGTCTTGCAGAGATAACAGATTCTAACAATTTCTGCATAACTTGCAAGTGCAGCGAGGACAGGAGTGCTTTGGGCTTCCAAGGCGATCAGATCTGTATATGATAAAGCAGGAAGCACCATGAATTTGAAAATTAGATTCAGCATAAATGGAGTTCTCAGCATTTTCACTATATAACATTAAGTGTTCGGTATGTACTTCAAGTTTTGGCTGCAGGTCCTGTGATGGGAGCACTGCAGGTTTAGTTTGTCAGTAAAGTGGGAAGAAGAGAAAGTGAACCTGAACTGAATTGCCTTTGCAAAGGTGGGGACAGTGAATATGCTGCACTGGCTACAGAAGAGCCTTTTGGTTGTGTAGAAACATACCCATTTGCAGTGATCTCAGGCACTGTAATGATGCAGTAGGAGAAACTGGTTGCTATTTTACCGTATGTTGAGCTTGATCCTTACCTCGTGTAAATCAACACAGGCCAACTGAAATCAAGACAGTAATGCTGGTGTCTGTCAGCTGAGAGCTGGCTCAGAATAAATGCAGGGACAAAATCCCTCTAACTAGCTTGATATTTCAGTGTTTGTTTGAGTATGCTTGTATGTCAGTTGTGATTACAGTAGTTACACTGCTAAGAAATGTTCTCATGTGGGATGGTTCCCCTGTATTTTCCAGCATACAGTATCATTTGAAACTTGCAAAAAGTGAGTATCTAATGCTTCCCCAAATCCAAGAGAAAAATGTGGATTTGGGGGACCTTTGGCTCACACTTTGCACAGATGTGAAATGACACAAGGTGCAAAGCAGCAGGGAGGGAAACTGCTTGTGTTTAAAGCTGATACAGACCACATTGATCAAAGCATGTTTATGGCCATCTTTCAACCTCAGTGCATGTATTGCCATCTGTGGGAGTAGCCTGCAGAGCAGACGGTCCTAAATGTAAAAAGGAAAAAAAAAAAAAAAAAGAAAGGAAAAGAATCAGCTCCTCATCTGAATGAGAGAGCTTAACAATGAATGACATTATTTCATGAACTGTACCAGTTCAAATGCATGTGCACCTGGTGCTCCTAATGCTTTTTACTCCTGTTGGTCTTTAGACAACATGATCAGTAATATGCTTTCTGTCTTTAATTGTTTGCTGTTTTTATTGTTGTTATTTTGTTGTTTTTTAAAAAAACACATTTCACTGAGAAAACAGCCCTACTTCTGTAAATATAGAGTTTAATTTGGAGGAGACAACACACTTCAGGATGTTACTGCTGGACAGTTATTTATTAAAAGGGGCTTAAGGTGAATAAATACAGGTGGCTCAGGATACATGCATGCAAGTGTGATAATGCAGTATAGCATTTTCAGTTCTCTGTAGTTTTTGGGGAAGGGGAATTTTTGGATCATCCTAGTTTGTTTAGAAGTTTGTTACTGATCTGATACTTTTGAATAATGCAATAGAGATTTCTAACATATAACAGTGCTTGAACAGATGTGTAGATTATGATAGATTTTTCTTTGGGGTGGGAGGGGGTAGTGAAGGAGAAATGTTTTAGTTTTTAAGGGGAAAAAAATGTACTGTACTAAACGTTTTTTAGGAAAAAAAAAATGTGTTTTCAGAAACAGTGGGGATGTGGGCTGATAGACAGCCGGGGCATTGAGATGAGGGACAGGGGAAGCAGTTGGATTTTTGAGGGGCAAAGAAGTTTTACATGGGGTGTGGGTTTGTTACTGGTACATGTGGTACAGATTTCTGCAACTGACATGCTGCTTCCATGTTATAATCATATAATCTTTATGCATTTTATGCGCCTGCTCCATTTTTCTGAGAAAACCTTGCAAATGTAATGCCTGCATGCAAATGTGGGAGATGTAGCCAAGTTTTATAATCCAACATAATGTAGTCTTAATGGATTCAAAATCAACAATAAAAGTGCTTACTGGTTAAACACTACAGAGAATTTCATTGTAGAGTTATTTTCAGAGGGGATAAGCTTGTCTGTACCTGGTTTCTAATCATTCCAGCCATCTAATCGTCAGGAGGACAGGAGCTTGGGCTGTCAGAACTCCTATCACCAAGTTGCTGCTGATTTGTTATTTGACTAGAGACAAGGGTATGTTCTGTGCCTCAGTTTCCTGTTTCCAGTCTAAGAATTTCAGTCTTTGCCTAATTCAAAGGTCAAGGCACCATGTTTTGGAAGTCCTTTTAGAACTCGGGTAGCAGGGTAGAAATGCTGGGTAAATTCCACTGAAGTTAGTGCTCAAACATTGTTTGACAGATGGGGCAGCATCTGAACTTACTGCTGCTATCTTGAAGAGAACTTGTCTAAGGCATAGAAACTGTTAACAAAGTAAAAGCCATGCAAGATAAGATGCTAGAGCTCAAGACATTAGCAAATAGAAATTCTATGGCAAATCCTACACCTATGAAAACACTGAAGTCACCAGGCTCTAACCAAGGTCTGTAGTCAAACACAACTACTGATTTTTATGAGTCTTGCCTGAAGGACGCAGGACTGGATCCTTCCATAAGACTCCTTCCTTCACTGCCCCTGAAATTGAGGGGTTTTTTTTCCCTCCTTGCTGCTAATGCT